AAAGACCTGCATGTGTCTTCATTTGATGATAATCGGTGACCCAAGATTCTTTAGTCTCAAAGAAAGAAGGAGAGAGTTCTTGCATGTGAGGTCCGGTCGTACTCTCGGATGACAGTATCTTGCATGCATCTTTAAATCAGATTTCTCATCTTGAAAGCTTGCTGGAATCGGAAATTTTATTGTTTTTTTTATTTCTTCTCTGGAATTTATTTAAAGTTGATGTTTTTGGTGTTAAAAGTTTTGATTATCGAGAACGTTGAGCTCGAGACCCTCTCCATCATTGCTGCCATTCTTGGGAATGCAAACAATTTTGGGAGGCGTATGACTCAAGGTTGAAGAATTTTTGAAAATAGTGTTAAACCCACTCAAAATCTCTTGATTTTGACAGTTGACGGTTGTCATCATTGTTTAGGGATGACATTTAATGATGTCATTAATAAGGTTTTAGAAGGTTCCTTTTTATTTAAAAATTAAAAATATCGGCTTTATTTTGTGAGAATATTTGGTGGCTTTGCATTGGAACCAACTTTGCCCTACCTAAGTCAAGGAAACCATTAACTTAATATAGCGCTGGTTGGTCTGTCAGGAAGTTCGAGCAAGCATACTAGAGGAAACACACGGATATTCGCCAAACTTGTGAGTTCTCACGGCCCCACTTTTAATGCTTTTTATATGTTTTATGGGGGAAAAACATGAGATTGAGCAAACTTTGCATGTTTATGTTTTATGATACTAGTGACTAAAGAACTGTTTAGTCGATGCTTTGCACAAGACCGTTGGGCTAAGGAACTGCTTAGTCAAGTTTTACTTAGAACCTCTTGGGCTAAGGAACTGCTTAGTCGGGTTGCTATATTTTGTTTGATAACTATTATTGCACTTAGAATAAATGCTAAATTGATGTGCTTGAGAGTATATGTTTCCAAATGAAAGTCCCCGTCCGTAAACGCTACTTGTTACCTCGGGTACATTCCCGGGCCGTGGTATTGTGGATAGCTGTTATTGTGTTGACAGTCCCACCCAGAAAGGGGTGCACAATTACCTACGTTTTTCTACTCTAATCATGTGGGATTTGGACCACCACTGAATTAGTACTTATCGAACTGTGGGACCTAAGTAGTGAACGGGCTACTTCTGGTTGTTCGAAAATTAAT